GCATCATGTCCCTTCAAACAGCGGATCAGGAGTTTCTGAACCAAATTGACACTCAACTTTTTTTTAAAATTTGCTCTAACCAACATTCGGACTGTTGAAAAAACAAAAATCGTTCTGAGGATAAACCAACTGATCTGCGAAAACATGTGTTCGATTCTGGAATAGTGCGTGGGCTGATAGTAACCGGTCAGGGTAACGGCAAAATCGATTGCAGGATAGAAAAAGACAACGATGTCATGCGTCTGGAGGTGTTTAAAAGCCTTAGATCGTTTATTTTTTAAAAGATGTGTTTGCAACATTATTTTAGAAAAAGATATCCACTTTAATTGCTCTAAAACATGATAACGTGAAAGGAATTGTAAGTTGCAAATACAGAACACTTGACGACAGCAAATAGTTCATAAGAGGGTTTTTAAATTACACCAATCAGGAAATGCTGTGAATTTCGACTTTTAACGCCTAATGAAGGCACAATTTGGCCGAAAATTCTCAAAAAGTCGGCAAATCCAGGTATAGTTGGAATTTCCATGATCTGTGATCCTAAAAAATTGTGTGAGATTGTAAAATGTTCATCTCAGTTTGACACGAAATAAATTTGGTACGCGATGAAAAAGTTTTTTGCAAGCTTAATGACAAATCTCATTAAAGTTAAAATTGCTGAAATAGCAGTAAATGTGTGCCGATGGAAAGGAAATGAAGCACTCATTTTCAAAAGTGACGAACAGAATATTCCCCCGAGTTTTACCCATTTGGAAAAATCGATAATCTGGAGCCAATCACAAACGCCGAAGCCTCTCAAAGTATAATACTGACGTGTTTGTCAAAGGCGGCCACAATCGTGGTGGTTTTGGACGCAAAATGGTGGTTATCAGATGCAAGAAAAAACGCGCAGTTCGATGTCCACGTAATTTTACCTAACTCATTTGTCAATATTTTGCAGCCAAGTGTAAAAGTGCAAATACACCTGAATATCCCTTGCATATCTGGCTATAAATCAAAATCGGGTGGCATTTACGAAAGACTTGTACGATTAAATGTTTCAATCAATGTGAACTAATCTTTGTTTTACGCGAACAACAAAATCTGAAGGTTGTTTTACAAATATGGAACGAATAAATTAATTGTACTGATGAAAAAATGTCTTTTTTCTAATGTCAAATTAAAGCGAACATTTGAACTTCATGGTCAAATTTTATCGATTTTGAATCGAAACTGTGTTATTCGTAGTACGAACACCCACAGACCAGAATAGACATAAAACAGGGATTATGTAGACCACGATTAATGTCAGTTTTTGAAATAATAATAAAGCATGAAAGCCCACAAATTTGGTCATGTAGTCGTTACTTTCTGAACTGAATGCACTACTCTTGCATCACATTTTGTTATACGTAGCCCAAAAATTACACACCAGAAAGGACATGAAACAGAGGTAACGTAGACCACGATTGGCATCACTTTGTGAACAACTAATAAAGCGTGAAAGCCCACAAGTCTGGTCAAGTCGTTGTTAATTTTCTGAACTGAATGCATTTGAATAATCTGTGGTTTTCAGCGTAAACCAATGGTTTCTTCTGAAAATTGATATCCTCTCTGTGCAGAAATATTGAAATACTGGATATAATTTTTCACATAGAACATTTTCGTGTTTTGTTACCTCAATATCTCGTTTGACAATCAAAAATTTTGATTTCGATTGCCTTTCACAGTGAACCGTTTTGTCAAGTTGATGCATTCAGGGTCATGAATACTTGCAGGTCACAGGCAGATCAAATCAGATTTGTGGGTGGAAACCAATACTCACGCTGCAGGAAAAAAAGGGAATAGTCGATTTTTGATTGCACATTAAATCGGGCGGCACAAACACTGATTACAAAATAATTCTGCGGATCCATTTAATCAATATCTTTTGGAGATAATTCAATATTTTTCCAAGTGATAATGCGATGTTTGCGGGCGATGGGAAATTGTTGTGAGGGTGCATGTTAGCGTACCATCTATATGTCCGTAAACGTCTCTATTTGCATGTGGTAGGTTTTGAGAGCAAAGAACATAATGTTTAAGAAATTTTACCTGATTCGAAGTTCAAATAAACTGAGACGATGAAAAGTATGCATGAGTTTGTAAGAAAATGCACTAAATTTTTTAACAAAACAACGGTAAAAACATCGGTCACGTGTATATAATTAAAATTGTGAGTTTTCGAATTAATGTTTTATTAACCTTTCTAGAAGGAGGTCGTAAAGCATATTTTGGTTTGTACGAATTCGAAAAAGGTAAAAAACGAATGTAAACTGACATTAGTTAGATCGAACAATCAAAAACTCCCTAGAAAACATCATTATAATAACCAAATCTGTGGTATAAATTGGTTTGCATTTCAGCATGTATTCAACAACAAAAGAGATTTGTTTGAAAAGAACGACGTTTAATCGGTAAACGATTACTGATTCAAAAAGCTAAAAAATGTTACGTTAATAGAGTTTATGGAGGCATTTCAATTTATTCTAAGCCTTAGTTACCACAAATTAATTTAAAACGATTGGGTGATTTTTTAGCATTTGAATACCTAATAACAATCTTATATAAAAATAAGATGTGAATACAACTATTTTGCTTTTGTCACGTCATACTAATCATTAATTAGGATATGTAAGGGCTGTGCACATAACGTTATCATTGTCGATTTTGCATGACACGTTCTTGTTTATGTGTGTCACTACCTCATGCACTTGTTTACAGCGGTCAGCAGATATGACTGTTTTTGTGCACACCACTTGTTACATTGCGTAGTGCCTAGTAATTTAATTTACAGACCTTCTCTATGCGTAAGTATTCATTTCATCTGGTAGTCATGGCCTGAAAAGTAAACAGTGTATGAAATATAAATGTTGTTTCAAATTATGTTTTCTGTCAGAATTTTTCTGCGCCCATTTTATTGCATGTGCTTGCTAAAATCAGGGTTAAATAGTATAAATGAGTAAATCTTTTGCTAATTTTATCCAGTAAATCTAATCCATCCTCCAGTAATGTTCGTTTTTTTACTTTTACTGTGTAATTTGCCACGATTATAGAAACTATTTGTGACTGTTATCCAGTTTTGCAGTTTTTAATGTATTTTGTTAACATTTTATACTTTACAACAAATGCAGTTTGCTGAAAATGTCGTACATAAATCCAAAATCAACTCAGACATCGTAAAATTGCATTTTCTACTACTGTTCACCTACACATTTATTGCTCCTTCTCACCGTTGATGAATGTTCTAAGCATTTGAATAACTGCAAAACGTATTCTTAAATATCTGGGTTTTGTCCATGACCGAGAATTTGCGCTGGTTTTAAGAGACTCGAAAGTGATTCGGATTACAACTTGCCTGGTCTTTTAATAATGCTCTAAAATTTGTTCCTACTTCGTCATATTGTTGAAAGTTGTTACTGAGTCGAGGACTGAAGTTGCGTGCGGTGTAGAATCGGTTTTCCAATATCTTCTGATACACGGTCTTTTGGTAGACAAAAGCTCTTGTTGTTTATTTAAATACGTCACATCTGTATCAAATTTTTGATCAGTTCTTTCAAGGTAGGATCCGCGCTATTATAACGCTGGTTATTTTTGTGTAGCAGGGTCATCCACGCTTAACATTCGCCTTTAAAAATCAAAAAAACGTTTTCAATGTCTGAGTGTCCTTCTTAAAAATAGTTACTTTGAATCAAAATTTTCGTCCAGTTAACTATCTCTTATTTATGTTTTGGATCAAATCTAAATCACGTGTCATATTAAGACTTCTCACTGGCCTGTTCTGCCTCACAACATAGCGTACCCACGCATTCGTTCGTCCAGTTTGCAGAAATACAAGATCTTGTCCAGGAAGCCACCAAACTAGTCTCTGTCACAGAATTTTCTCCACAGTCCAATCAATGTTCCCATTGCATGCAACTCTCAGCTTACATAGGAACCAAGCGTTTTCCGAACAAACTATTGTGCGGGTTTGTTTCCAGATTCTCGGAAAAGTGTGTTACGTCATTTTTCGTAGATTGATTGGGTCGGACTGTCTGTTTTTCTACATCGACCGCGCTTGCATAGCCAGAAAGGCCCAACAGAATAACGAAGGACAAATTAATGCTGTTTTTGTTAATTTTGGGGACCAATCCGTTTAGGGATGGCTCTAAGAGTCTAATCATGACCTGTGGAGCATTTACCCCAGTGAAGGAGGCTGTGACAGCCTCAAAGGCTTCTGTATTTTTGCATCGACCGTTTAATTTGATTGCAAGGCGTGTGTACCATGCAGGATGTCTTTGCTGCAGCAGTTATGGAAATTCGTGGCCTTCATGGGAGTGTTCACATCTTAAGTTGAACTTTTTTCAATACCTTACCTGACTTCTGGAAAAAAATCGCGTTCGGACGACCGCCTTCAGTCCTTCAATCAAGCCCATGATGGTTCGGTCCCTTCTGCTTGGAATTTTATCAACTGTACAGAATGACTGGTGCGTCCCCTTGCTTCGAAACTCCTCGTAGTTTCGTCTAACGCCGCCGATTCATACCAAATCTCCCTCACCGATCGTCATCTCCTGCACAAAGCCACGCATCAACGACAAAGAAGATGCTGTGTCCTCCAATTTTCTAAACTCGGCATTTTTTTGACATGGAACTTCACTCAAGCAATAGACTTCCAACTGCACTACTACAGTACTGCCGTTTGAGCTGGAATTTCTCACATTCACGGCTGATTACCGCGATGTGATCTAAGAAGTCGCGTACTCTTTCATTACCAGTTTGAGCCACCGCTACGGCATGCTAAACTAAGGTCATTGTAAATCCAGAAAACGTCTTTTTGTCGTTGAAACCAAGTTTCACAATGTCACAATTTACTGCCTAGCATTTTCCCGCATTTCTTGTGCATTTTAGGGTTGTGTAAACGAAAGAAAACGCCCGTTTTTTTGCCTTGAGAAGGAGTGTCGCGACAGTCTCTCTCTGTTCCGTAAACAGTTCAACTAATTTGCATGTCCCAGCAGGATAGATACCTAATCGTCCTGTCTTTGATTTCCGGTAAGTTGAGTTATCGCGTATCGTTGATGTCAGGTTCATGAGTGTGCCTAACACCGCCAGCTACAATTTCCACCAATCGCAGCGTGACTTTTGTTTAAAATCAGATGTCGTCTACGCTTCAAATTCAAATTTTTTTTCCTATAAACTGTCGCCAATTCAGCTGTTATTATAATTATTATTGTCGAAATATGTTGCTGTGGTTTGGCAAGAATATGGACACTTCTGGCTTCCTTTCATGCCACCATTTCCACCAATCACAGCAGAGCCCTTGTTTAAAATCACGTATCCCGTAGACCTCGTAGTCTAAACCTTCTTTCGCTGGATTTCGACTGAGAAGTTGACATCTCTGATTTGTTTTCTTGTCGCAGGTAGAAATTTTGCTGACAAGTCACCAGGCAGCTTGGTAGTCGAGGCCAAATTGGATGGAGAGGTACTCGTCACAGACCCCGTCGCACACACACACAGTCCCCAATTCGACCAGGAACTCGCTTGGGAGGTGGACCGTCAGACGCTCAAGCAGCACCGTCTCCATCGCAGCTCCATAAAGCTGCAGCTGTTTTCTGTGGAAGGCGGTGGCTCCTCGAAGTTGGCACGGGAGCCACTTGGCTACGTCGTCCTCGATGTTCGCTCTGCCAGTGAGCGCCAAGTCTACAAGTGGTTCCAGGTGTTGAGCTCCAGGTGTCGACCCAGCCCGGAAGTCTACTGTGGTCTGTACATCGATCAGGAGGGAGCTTCGGGTGAGTTTGTGCAAGGCCCTGACCTGGTAACCACGGCAACGCTGAAAACCGCGCGTCTTTTTTGTTTTAAATTGCAGATGGCGCCAAGTGTGTGTCGCTTGAGGTGAAACGCTACAGCGAACCAGGTCAAAGTGGCGATGGGGAGATTATTCAAATCGGACCCACAACTCCGGCTGTTGACGACTTTGCTCTCTCAATTTCCGTGGTCTCGTTTCTTCACCTGTTGAACCTGCTCCCCTCCGACCTCGTTCCAGCTTCGAGTCTATCCAATCTCAGACTGGGTTTGCGATTTGCTGGCCAGGACTACTCTAGCGCTGTGTTCAACGAGCAGGACTGTACGAAGCTGACTGCAAACCAGTGGACATTTACCATCAGGTCTTACATTTTGCTTACAAAATCAAATATGAGTGATTTTAGAAATCATGTTATTGATTTGGTGTTCCCTTACCATGTGGACCTTGCAATTTGCCCTAGGTCAACGGTTGACTTTCTTCGGGCGTATTTCTCACAAGACAACGCGATTGGCATCACTTTCTTTTTGAATGACAAGCCGATTGGTCGGACTCAATCGAATTTGTCCAGTTTGGGTTATCGAATTGGCAAGTCTCTGCCTCAACCAATCAATGCCGACGCAACATTCACGGTGAGAAAGATGCGCTACGTAAAATAACATAGGTAGCAATGATTTATGCAACTGTGATAACAGCTTTCAGCTCTCCAAGGCCAGGGCACGGCATCTCTCGTCTTGCAATTCAACCTAGAACAGATCGCTCCGATGAAGTCAGGCGATGCTGGAAATGAAACCACCCACGTGACTGATGAACCGTCAACCCAGCAAAGCAATAATGCGTTGAGCACGATTGAATCCAGTCCTGAAGGTCGGTAATTTGCTAATTTGATTTTCACCAACCTCTGAGCCCTCGGATGAGCACGCTTTTTTCGTAATTTTAGAAAAAATCCAGCAACTTGTAAGTCTCTTTTTGTCCTCTTTGTGTGAAGAATGTCTGGTCCTTCTATTCTGCCTTATCCCGCCAATCCAGAACGACGAATGCCTCTCGCCACCGACCTTGGATATCGATCGTGCATTGGGTCCGCCGCTAGCCAATCAGCAGTCAATGGAATCAACCAATCAGGGCACTTCCTCTACAACCGCGTTCTCGCAAGCGCCCCCAGGGGCAACTCAGCCGCATCGTTTCTGCTACACGATCGAACTCAGGACCATCAGGGCTTGCTACACCCCGGAGAACGACGTCTACGTCTACGCCAGGTGTGTGCCATTTTTCGCGAATTCAGTGTATCAGTCATGGTCTGATCTCCGAACCTGCGGCGACTAGACGCACCGATCGATAATATAAGACTAACTATTTGGGTGTACCTGGGTGATCATGTTTTCTGGTAATATCCCCCTTCAGATACGTGTATCCGCTGTTTGGGACGACGAATCCAATAATGACACTTCCGCCGATTCAACTGTCCTCTAGTGAAGCGAAGCACTTCTCTCAAGGCCTGTGCGCCTTCGAACTTGCTGCCGATTCTGCTGAGGTGAGTTTGGAGCCAGCTCCAATCATCTTGCGTCCTTGCCTCTTTTTGTCAGGTCCAATCACAACCTCGCCTTGGCGGCCAATAAGATTGCTAGCCCATTTAGTCACAGATTTGCCTTGGCGACCAATAGTATTGAAGGAAACCGAGCCAATAAGATGCCCTGTTGTTGATGTGAAAATTTTAGGCGGTGTGTTGATTTTCCTTTTTTTCTAGTTTAAATCTCGTCTTTCCGATGAACCCCTCATGACCCAAATCCTCGCCCGCTCTCCAGGCTCAGGCAGTGAGGAGTCCCTGATAGGCTGGGCAATCATACCCCTCGCCGACGTGTTCACGAAACCAGTTGCTGACATGAAAAGTGGGTTTTTGTTATTTTGCCTTGCTCCTGGTTGTTTAAGGTTGGAGCTCCACCACTCCCGCCACCGTAACGTCCACCACCGCCTCCATCACTACCACAACCACCAACACCACCATCACCACTACCTCAACTAGTGCCACCTCCGCCAACACCGCAGTCACCGGCACTACCACCTCCTCCTCCTCCTCCACCACCGCCACCACCTCCTCCTCCATCAACGCCACCACCACTACCTCCATCACCACCGCCTCCATCACTACCGCAACCACCAACACCACTACCAAAACAACCGTCACCTTCACTTCCTCCTCCACCAACGCCACTACCACCTCCTCCTCCAGCACCACTACCTCCATCACTACAAAAACTACAGCCACCTCCACCACCAGCACCACCACCAACACAGTCACCACCGATGTCTCTTTCTTGTGGAAATTTCCAATAGGCGTAACATTGTATTATTCAAATCTACTAAGATTGTCAACGACGACGGCTGGACGGCACGGTGTACGTCATGGACAACTCGACCGCTGTGGCTCAACTCGCTTATTCTCTCGTGCTCGACGACTTTGGCGTCTACGTGCCCGCAGTTCAAACTGCGACCTCACCTGACCCCCACCGGACCTCTCTACCCACTCCCCCAGTGAGTGCACTCGCCTCGGTTTCATTGGCTATTTTGAAATGGCGCGGCCCGCGTGTTTAGAGGATACAGATGCTGGTGGTGGTGTGCGTGTGTGTGTAATGGTAAAAGGTCACGTCTGAACACCGGTGAAAGGTCACAGCCAGAATCACGTGTTAGGTGTAGCCATGATTATGCAACACGTTGAGGTATTATTGAACCAGCGGTTGATCTGGCGTTGCACTTTTAGTACACAGAAGCTCCAACAGCGTACCTTCAGCAGCCAGGAGACCATGAGTTGTCAACAGGCCAACTACAACCGCTAACCAACATCCGCCACACCCCTGAATACCGAGCGGCCCTTGAACTGGAGCTGTGGAAGGCCAAGGAGGAGGAGAGCTTCAAGACCAACCTGAAGTTCCGCGAACAGAAGATGCTGGTGGTCTTTGCCGAGGAGTGGAAACGTCGCGAGAATGAGAGAGAAGCACTCTGCAAGAAGAAGGTCAGTGTTTCTTTTAAACAATCCTATGTGTGCGTGGCTGTGTCGTTTGTTTCATAAAAATGGAGCCTTCTTTGACAGATCCAGGAATATCGGGTGCTGGAGGACAAGCTACAGAATGTCCTGGGAACTCTGATGGACCGGGAGAGGGAGTTCACTTTCAGGGAGGCCGCCTTCAAGCAGGCTCAGCGGGAGTACGAGAAGGACCTTGACCGGCGGGAGAAGGAACTCATGAGCAGCGTCAAGGAGAGGGTCAAGGAGGCGGAACAGGCGCTGAGAGTTGAACAAGAGCGAAGCCGATGTCTCAGTGATGAGGTGGGCGTTTGTGTGTGATTTAAGTGGTCCGGAATCTAAATCTGTGTGGAAGAAAACATCACGGTGTTGGGTGAAGGTGAGCTGAACATGGAAGATGTTCCAGGTCTCTCCAGTTGCGAGCTCGGATTGCGACTCTAGGCACAGGGGCTATGATTCTTGTGTTGCGAAAGGACCTCTTCCCGTATCGATTTTCTCCGCCGATACTTAGAGGTCTGTGTTGACGTGTTTCATGATCAGCATGAACTCAGAATGACCCATGTCTTCTCAATCCCGCTCAATCTACAGTGTCACTCATGGTGTTGGCTGTTTCCATGGACTGAGTTATCCTTTTCGATGGTCCACACTGTCACAAACATCTCCGTGTGCAGTGCAAATGTCATGAACAGCATTGGGCGTCAACAACGCGCCATTTTACGATTGCTTGCTTCATTTAATTGTCTTTGCATACTTGTAGCTTTAAAAACGGACGATTTTCTCACTGTTATGTCAACCATTCAACACAACCTAAGTGTGTATGGCTTAAGCGGGTCTGTTTGTGTGGGCATTTCAGCCAAAAATAGCGTCTTGTTTGGTCTGCAAACTGTTTGACATGAATAAACTTTTGTAACGGTCTTTGACGACTCACAGCTGCTTAGATTCCAGTTTATTCACGCGACTAGCGTGTCTGGAGGGGTTCCTTGTTTCCATGAAGTGGTTTTATGTCGTTTTTGAAATTATGGTTACCTATCCAGCTGAGCCAGTTGCGCGAAAAGTATCACGATCTGGTGGAGAAGGTAGCCATCGAGCAACGGAGACCTCAAACGGTCTCGCAGGAGGCTGCCGGCACGTCGAGCACCAGCGGGGTTGAAGAGCAGGTGCGACGCGAGCAGGAGGAGGTGCGCAGGCTGCAGTTTGAACTCGTCCGCGTCACCACTGAGCTGACCTCGGCGCAGGGCCAGATCGCGGCCACTGCGCGACGCCTGGACGCCGCGCTGCGCGGCCGCCTGCGCTACAAGGAGCTGTGGACGCGAGCTCTGCACGAGGTCGCGCGTCTCCGGCAGGAGGCTGAGAACACCACCAAGCACGCGCTTCAACGCCGCGAAGCCGAGGTGGAGGGTCTGCGCAAAGAGTATCGACTCCTCGTTCACGGTGGCGACACTGCTGTGGCCAACAATGCCTTGGTCACGCAAATTCGACAGGATTTGAATCAGTACGTCTGCTTTTAAACCTCCCGCCGCGTAATTAAGCCCAGTTGAATTGTTCATCCACTGAGGCGTGCTGCTGCGTTGATCGGAACTGGTTGTAGTCGGATGGGGCTAGGTCTGGTGAAAATGCCGCGCATGGGAGAACTTCCCATTCCAAGTTCAAGAGGGTCTTCTGAGTCACGCGAGCAACGTAAGGTGGTCGAGCGTTGACATGCAGCGGAAGCAGTATAACTTGCTTGTCTAGTAAATGGCCTTTTCTGATCACGTTCTTCGCTCTGTTTGTTCGACTGGCGTCTGTAGCGCTCCGCGGCCACCGTCTGGCGACCAATGTCTAAGCGTTCGTAATAAAGTACACCCTTCATGTGCCACCACACGCACAGGAGAACCTTCTTCAAGTGAATGTCCTGTCACGTAAAAAGTATACTTTTCATCACCCGCCACAATTTTCCACAGAAATGGAAGGCATGTGTTCGTGCGTTGACGTAGGATGTTGTGATCGGTCAGTGAATGTGACAGACACAAGTTCCAATTGGTTAAAATATTCTCATTTGGTGGTGCAGACGCTTGGAAATAGCTCGTTGGCTGACTGCTACTTGAGCTGCAAGCTCTTGTTGCGTTTGCGTTGAGTCTTCATCCAGCGGAGCTTGTAATTGCTCACCCCCACACTTTCAAGACTGCTGTCCGGGGCGCGGCTGGTCACTAAGGCCGTACTCGCCACTTCTAAAACGTTTGTACCAATTAATACGCGTTTCATGAGACACAACGTCGGCACCAAGAACACTAAGAACTGATTACCATGTTGTAGAAGCATCTTTGCTTGTTGGAATTCGTCTGAAATGCAGTGCCATCGAATGTGCTGTTAATAAGTTGCCACCGCAAGCTCTGCTATTCTGAGAGGTTGTGTAAATCACGTAGACTTGTCGTTCGCTGTTCTGAAACCTTGCGTCAGATCCTTTCAAAACCACAATAGACCGCGAAACTATTTTAAATTTTTATTACAATTTCAAACTTGAGGAATCTGAGAAAAGAAACTGGTCGTACACCTGATCAATTCACTTTAAATTTATTCCAGATTGCAGACCGAGACTGTTGAAGACGGGACCAAACACCCCCTATCACCCCAGAAGCCCGCCACTTCAGATCCGGTCTTAGAGGCACAGTTGAACCGACTGACCGAAGAACGCCAGAACCTCCTCGCTTCAGGGGTTTACTGTGAGGAGGATGAGTTGATTGTGGATCTGGATCGCGAGATCAAGCGCCTACTCGGCACGATGCGCCGGTAGCTTCGGCTGTGCTCCCTTGACCCCTTGTCTGTCTGCGCGCCCGCACCCCCCCCCGTTTTAGATTATGCCGTGGCGACGACCAGCACAAGCACACCCACGTTCGAATCCATCGTTGGATCCCCTTTGCTCATTTCGTGATCTTATTAAAAGACCCAAAATTACGCATTTCACCGAAGTCACAACTTCGCAATTCGTTTCTACTTGGCAAGTATTGAGAGATAACGAGAGAGACGCCTTGAATTAGACTTGGTTTTGCCTTTTGAAAATGGTACGCTTCCGTTGGGGCAGACTGCGGTCCTGATAGGTCCCACTGTCGATGTCCTGCTTCTTTCAAAACGCTATTGGCTGTTCGCAACCAATAGGAAGCGGTGCTCAACGGTGCCCCCTTGGGACCCCTGCACTACTACACCACACTCCTTATCACAGCTTGTAACACCGTAAACGCCAGCTCCCTTAAAATGCTTTCCGAATCTCTTGTGATTTGGTGTTACAGAGACGAGTGGGCGTAAGATATCGTTCTAGGAGAACTTTATCATCGAGAATGGGATGGATATTTCCCTTCTTTCTCTGCCGTCATAACCGATATCGATTGTAGAAGATGGGGAAGGTGAGAGATCCAGAGGCTGCAGATCCTCAGCCGCTTATTAGTTGGCAAAACCCAAATATGTCGTCAAAGTTACCGAAGTTCACAGGAAGTGGGCGTTTGCAGACGTGTCCCAACTAACAACGGCGATGATGAGACAGAGAACAAACACGCTAATTTTTCATAGGACACGCGTCCATTGCCTCTGTTGTTACTGGCTGTTGGACAGCAGGATGTTATGATCATGCTAACGAACCGCTGAATTTGGTGACCCCGACGTGATCGGTAATTTCATTCGAAGCTTTCACAACCCTCTCTTTTGTTAACAATGAATGCTGAAAAACAGCATTTCAGTCAACTTTCTAACGCTTGACCTTGGTTAATGCAAATTGCGGTTCTTTTACGCACTCGGAACATCCTGTCCCAAATCGCCATGTACCTACATGTTGTTGCACTACTGCCGACAAACGCTGCCACAGAATTTATCAGCTAGTTTAAAAAAGTCCGTGTGAAAGCCGTAGTCCTCACACTAACGGCCAGCTCGAATGGGGCCTGTCTTCGACACCGGTATCGGAGTTGGCGACCGGTCCCCGTTTCAGCGTTCTCGCTATTTGCGCTTCCTAGTTTGGGTCGATGGCTGCTGCGTGCCAAATAGGGGCTACATCCCTCTCGGAAAATAGGAATGCAATCACTTCGTTCCAAAACTCTGGAACACCGCTAAAGACGCTCGCAGAAGTGGCATATAAAATCGACGAGTATCTCTCTCAAGTATAACATTAGGCCATCTCTACTGATGTAGCAGCAAGTGCGGACAACTTCGGCTGTAATCATTTGCGATAACGGGTAGCCAACCCCTAGGGTGAGAATGGAAGAATTATCTTCGGAAAAGCATCAACGACGACAACGAACAACCGCTCCCCGTTCCTGCCAGGCTAGTCAACCCAGGAAGCGATACAGACGACCCCGTGGTCCACCTTGCTGATTCGGTTCAACTCTTTCGGTATCTGCAGTGAACCCTCAACAATCGCGAGTGAGCACGGCGTGCTTCTCGGCCTGATGATGCTAATGACTCATCGCTATTTCACTTGTTACAGTCATCAGTCGCGTGTTGCGCACGCTTACTCATTCACACACTAGGACGCCTACGTGACGTGACACAAATTAACGACCGTGTCCGCTACCAACCCTCTTGTCTTTGTTCTCGGGTTGTTAACTAGCAGGGTTATAAGTTAGTGCTAGCAAGCCACCACACAATTCACTAATCCACACTGCAAGTGGCAAGGGTCCGGCAGTTACTCGATTACGGAAAACTTGCCCCAGGGCGAACGGCTCTTAAACCAACAAAAATCATGAGGACAGGCGCAAAATTTCATGCTAGACGCCCTACTGTGAAAGAGGGTCGCACCAAATGCAGATTTTTTGCATAGAAAAACTAGGGAGTTGATGGTGATCGAACAAGTTGTTAGAACACACGATGGCTACCATTACTACAATGTTCGTATTTAATCGACGAAGCAGTGGAACAAATGCACAGTCAGTGAAGTCGATTTACGACCAATACGCTTTTGTGTAGAAGGCATACAATCAAGAAGAGGTTAAGTATTTAAAGTCGACTATGAAGACAAGCCCCTCAGAAACACGGAGACAAGTGATCTTTTCAGCTGTAGCAAGTATTTGAAAAACTACTTGTAAAACATTGAACTTTATCACATAGCATAAAGTAGTCAAAACCGGTCAAATGATAGGGCTGTTGGTTGTTGATTGTCAATTCCTAAGGATCCAAACCTCCAAACTGAACAAAATGTGAAATTGAATACGACAAACCTGGAAATTTGCTATTTCTTCTTCTGACAAAGGTTTTCTAAAGAAACTAGGGTGAAAGGATAACTCAGGAAGGGGTTCTTCCGACGGAGCATTCTCTGAATCTAGAAACGAAAATTGTTTTAAGAATTAACTGTCTCAATGGGGCGAATGAAGCGTTAACTAGAATCGGAGTTACGACAGTCGGCATGCACAAGGCGTCGAATGCAAACGCGTTTATGCCCATCTATTAGATGCTGTTGTGTTAGGACTGTCAACAGCATGCAATAAACTAGCATTAAAAATAAGCACAACAAAAAAATACTCAAAAATAAAAGGAAATGTTTAAGTATGACTCACCGGCGGTGCTATTTAGCCGTGATCGGAACTTAATAAGAGGAACATGCTTCTTGATTGTCGCAATAGCAAAGTGCTGTCGCAAAATTTTCGGAATTGCGACAGTGGAGACTCTAGAACACACAAGGAGCATCTCAACAACGCACACACGAAATCCCGATCCGAAAGAACACAGCGGTCGTCAGGCTTCCTCTGATTGGCTGACTAAACGTCTCAGGGATTGTTTTGAGCGATTTGGTTTGAGTTTTAGTTTGCAGCATACATCATGATTTACATATTGCATATTTTGTAAATTTGGAGCGTATTGGTAGTTAATTTTTTTGAGGAAGTTGATTATGAAATATAATACTAAATGCACATTTGCACAGTTGATAATGAAATATAATACTAAATGCACATTTGTCCAGAGTAATAAATGCTATTTTCTGCTGAGCCACTATGTACACTTAATTTTTTGGCAAACGTTGGTGAGGGACTATGAAGATAAGAAAAAACATTAGTTGAATTAAAATTTACACTTTGATTTCGAGTGTTACTATGAGAAATATTGTTAAAACCGTCAAAGAAGATGAATGTGCTAATTAATTTATAAGGTTAAGTCCTTACATTTTGCTGCATATCGTGAGCTGCGAAATCGTGAAAAACTAGATAACTTTGAGAGAACCTTCATTTGAGTGGTTTTTTTATTTCTTAGTGGGAATTTTATCATTGCCTTGATAAAAAGCCCTAAAATAAAACGAAATTTAAATTAATATTTTAAAGAATTCAGATTCCATTTCTTTGAGCGAATGATAAATTATATAAATGATTAGGAGAGCTAAACACTTTGGGACAACACAAAGCATTCTCATATATGAGGTATATTTTTTATCTTAAATAATCAAGATAAGCAATGCCAGACAGTAATCAAAGCAAAGCATTCAATCATGGTTTTTGGGTCCGCGAAAAACCTCCTTTGTTGTAGACTTCCATTATTTACGGTTTTCTCCACAGTCTCGTCAACTAAGAAAACTTGCAATGATAAGCATCGACGTCAACCAAATTATGCACAATGCATGTTTCTTTGAGGAAGTTTTATTTCCAAACCTTATCTTGTGATCCGTCGCATTGAATTTATAAAACATATTTAGTGGCACTTACTGCACGACAGTCATTGTTGACCAACCAAGCTTGTAAATTACCAACACCATCTATTTTTTCCGTAAAAACATCTGTTCGTGCTGGTGATAGATGACCAGAATAAACTTTGTAATCATCGCTATCGTCAGTCCAATTTTCAAATGTTATGCTTGCGTTTACGAATCTACAGTATAATTGCAAAAGTTTCTCCACTCAGTTATTCACTTTTCTTTTTATTTGCACGCCTTTTCACTTTCATGTGGTCAAATTTAGTTAGCGAACAGTGAATGAAATAAATTCAATTTTAGTAAAACAGTTATTAATGTTGACATTTTAAATAATTCGTTACCAAAGGAGCAATTTTCTTAATCAGTAAAAAGCGGGATCCATTAAGATTCTAGGAATCACCTCTGTTGCAATTCTCAGTGTCCACGATCCAAAAAATGCCGATCGGAATCAATGTAAAGTCCGCCATTACTGGAAACTTCCGTAAAATAAGGTATTTTCGTGCCAAGCAATCCCGGCACAATCTCGTCCACTAAAGAAACTTGCAGTTATAAGCATCGACGTCAACTAAATCTGATTAACATGGTCTGTGTACTTGCAGCTACTGACCCCCAAGCAAACAGCTCTCAACCCATTCGACGTAAAACGATTCGTCCTGTCATTGTCCGTTTTTTAAGCCCTCATCGATGAACAAAACAGGCGTCAACTTCAATCGACCACGAGGTGCCAGAAATGCCGCAACCACAGTGGTCCCAAATTCGCACACCAC